GGACTCCTCTCTCTGCTCTCTTCCCGTGCACACGTTGGTTGCTGTTCGAAACATGTTTCTTATAAGCGCCCTTTTCGTGTGAGAGGGGTGAGAGGAGAGGTAATGAACCAAGATATTTTTACTACTTGGCTTTCGGTACCACTTTGTAATGTAGCCATTTTCTGATAGGTGAATTTGTACGTTCAAAAATGGAAGCCATTTTTCTTTCGGCTTTTCTCGGGTGAACTTGATATACTCTGACTGTGCGTTTAACAATTCGAAGCATTTGTCCATTTCCTCTTGTGTTGAGCAAAGGACAAAGCAGTCGTCTACATACCTACAGTAGAATAGTGGCCCGAGATCAGTCACCGGTGCTTCCACCTTAGACATTCCTGTGGTGTTGCAACGTGAAGCCCTTAGTGTCGCTGCAGTGAGAGTCCATGTTTCAGACACTGAGCGTATCATGTCGGTTAACTTCATTTCTCCTTCATGTCGTTGTCATTCAGTAAACGCACTTAGCACATATGAAGAGTAATCATTGTGATTGGAAATAAGCCACTTTGCTTCCAAACCGACTTTCACTAAACATCGACAAAAACAAACAATACATTCTTCGATTGTTGAGCAAACACGAGGTTGGCATAAAACTTTTATTCGGCCAACGTTTCGACGTCTCCGTCTTCTTCGGAGCCGAGCTGATTAGAGTCGATGGTCCACAGGTGGTCGCTGTCGCGATGTAAGTGTTCCTTTTCGCATCAGTCGAATCCAATGGAGTTAACACCACTCGAATAGTTGACTTCACTCAGCGGTGTCCTTTTATAGAGGATGGGTGTTGACATATTGCCACGTCCAGCGCGAAATACTTTGAGTGGGCAATACATCCTGCCGAAGTCAGTATCATATTGGCTGGATTGACATGGATTTACAATAACCTCTCTTGAGTTTGTTGCCCGTTGTATTAGGAACTTTTCATGAACTGGATTTTCTTCAGGATTATTTGTAGATTCAAGTTTCCTTGATTCGTTGAAATCCGAAACTACTATCTCTGTTCAAGTGAAATTTATCAATGAGAAAATGATGTCGTTATGAAAAGGAATGTTTGTTAGAAATTTCCGTTTAGTTCACATATCTTTTTTATTCTAATATATCCACAGTGATATCAACACGAACAGCTGAGAGACGGCAACACCAACTAGCCGAACTTGCTTCCCAAAGTAGTAATCCAGAGTTAACACGATACCAATACACTTCTAGTAGCCGAAAACCATAGCAGCCTCTTGCTCAACACTACTCGTTGGTGAACAACAATACAAACAATACGGAAAAAATTTTTGATGGGATAAATTAAATTTTTCCCTTCACATGAAAACGAGATTTGACGATGTCAAATGGGTGGTAGTTCAACTTTAAACGTTGATTTTCAAGGATATGTCTGCTTATAGCAACTGGTCCTTGTTAAAAATCTAGCGCATTTTGCAGAATTCGTGTAGGCCAAACAGAAAGAAGCGTACTATCGTTTAAAATAAGAATGAAAAAATCTGATTTTTCTCCGACGCAAAGGGCGCCCATTCGTCTTGAATGCCCGCCATGGTCTAAGATCGCTTAGCTTCCGAAGTAAACACGAAAGCTAACATAGTTGAATACCCAAAGGGGTGGTATGGCCAACACTTAATTGTGCCCCATACACTTTCAAAACAAGCGCCAAACACTCCAGACGGGAGGAAGTGCGTGTTGTTGGCAACAAGATAAGAAAAAAAAAGAAGAAAAGAATAAACAGCTCTAAAGAGTCAGAAACAGTAGCGTCTTCGGTTCATGAATTACAGATTTCATATATGAATTCTTCACGTACTGGTGATTCCTTTCCAAGTTTTCTTACCACTCAGTACTATCTATAATCGAAACCATACGACATATAGAAAAGGAGCTCACAGAATACTCTGGTTCTCAGCCATTTGTTTCCGATTGTTTTATTACGCTTGCCCTCTTTTTGTAATAAATAGTTAGGAAGCAAGTGAGATTTGAACACGCGAACATAACCGATAAATTCTTTGAATCAGTCGTTTCTAGACGACGTTTCAGCAACAACGAAAAGAAGAATGCGATAAAACGCGTCATAGGCCAACTTTTCCCCGGAGTTATGCTTAGTAACTCGCTAGGTCGAAAGTCTAATTTAGTATTGGTGACGTTCTTCTTTAGCTACAATTCCATTAAAGAAGAAATCACAACAGCAGCACATTGGTGGATGGAATCCACAAATTCGAATTAGAATGACTTCTCGCTAATCACAGCCCATCTGGCCTTTAGTTTTTCACCTTCAACAACGAAGGTAGCTATGTATTGTAAGAGATTTTCCTTCCGAGAAACATTGAAATTCGCCACCTGGAACGTCATTTCAAGTCCATCCTTCGTCTCAGATCGTCGTGGATTTAGTACTCCAGCGTTGCATAGCAGCACATTGAGATCGGGAAAGCGACTTTTCACCTGATCCGCAAGAGAGGCGACCTGCAAGCCGAGAAAGAAAAGCTTGCGATTAGATTTCAGATTTGTGAACAGAAATATCCCAGCAATCAGAGAAATGTTCAATCGTATATCTTGACTTTTTCAACTGATTTTTCCACTGCATGTTGCACATGCCTTTTCATATCGATCTCAATGTCTGCAACGCCAGAATGAACTAACAATGAAAACGTTTACTTCATGAGCTTTGTATCCCGTATTCCTAAAATATCATTCCCGAACGCCATCATTAACACCAATATAACATCTCTTTTGTAAGAGAGAAGTTCTATATGACAAGAGGAAAGACCTCTTCTAACAGCACTTCCATACAATCATAACAATTGAAATGAAAAAAAACACTAAAATTAATGTGGATAAAAAGTAGCTCCAAATGAACCAAGAAGCACCTTCAGGAACTCATTGAGCAATGGATAACGAGTACCTCTTTCATCACAGACAAGTCAGCAGCAATGTAGTCCACGTTTGAAGAGTTTCCCGTTTCTTTGATGATGTAGTCCCGAATAGCCTGAAAATTAGTTTCATATCGTTGACAATAGAACCTCATATAATCTATGTACCAACAGTTAAAACAGATACCGGGCAAGTCTCGGTCTTCTTTTAAACTACTATTAAACAGTGAAATACATTAGCGGAACCGTAACATTTACATAACAGCTGCAAATAAAACCCACTAAAATGACAGAGAAAATATAAACACGATATATATTGCTGTCCACGAAAACACCCTAGTCACATATCGATATGAGACTTGTCTGGGAGGACAAAAAGCACTGATTTACCACTTTGGTGCGTTACCGAAAGTCATTGGCCAAATATGTGTTCAAGTCATCTCTCCAATGATCAACAGAGTTGGATCAATGGTGTATCCCTGAGGAATTGATCAGCAACGAACCCTCCATTCGTTGTTTCATAAAAAATCACATTGTTCACCTCGCACTTCTCCTCACTTCGCCCATGAATGATAACTCGGTTGTCAGGATGGGTAGCCAAGTCGATGGCCGTCTGCTTGCCGATACCATCCGTAGACCCCGTGATCAATATCGTCCGCTTGAACGACGAAACTGGCATTGAAAACTCTCTACGTAGATAGTTTCCTAGAAAATTTTGGCGCATTTCACCAGCCATTTTCCCACCGGCTTTCAACAATCCAACAAACGTCGAAACTAGCATCGGGCGAAACAAATGAACAAGAGATGAACATTTCACTGAAAGACTCATAAGTTAGAGAGGAATAGAAAATAACTGCATCTAAGGAAAAAAGGAAACCATGAACAAGAAGAAATGAATTAAAGATGGGACGAAGGAAAACAAATCCAGAAGACAAGGTCAAGAACACAAGACTGACAAAACAAAACCTGGAAATTTTTCGGGACAGTGTTTCATTGTCGTCAAGCTCAAACAGAAAGGAGAAGAAATGGTGATGAGAAATGAAGCTCATTTACAATTAAGTAAGGAGTAAAAGGAAACGGAAAGCTCTTGTATCGATGTAAAAGAAAATGTTGCTTCGCTCACTAATTAAGCACATTTTGTTAATAGGAATGAAAAAAATAGAATGAAAAGGATGACCATGAGAACAAAGCTATCGAGGAAGAATGAAAGCTTTTCAACCATTTTTCAAAATGTTAAGTATGTTAACACTTTCTTATAATATAAAGCCAAAAAAAAATGTTCTCAAAAAGATTAGATATGAAATATCCGGGAAAAAAAACGAAAAGAATTGTAGACAAAAGGAAAAGGAAGAGAAAGCATTGTAAAAAAAGAAAACAAATCTATATTAAAATGAGAAAAACTCTCAGACAGACATGGTTTCCCACTTATGGACCACCAAATTTCCCATACCAACTAATGTGAAAGAGACAAGTTAATATTCGATGAAGATGCGGAATGGAATCCTAGGGCCGCTTAGTCTGCCGAAAGCAAGCGTGTCACATGAACTAACAAACTGACCCGCCCCTTTGGACTAGGATGAAAAGGGTCGGATGGCGAAGAAAACAGTCACAACTCGAAAAGAAAAGCTCTCTCCACTCAGTGGTATATTGATAGGATCAGAAATGTACAAAGAAAAGATCAATGTTTGATTAGAATTCAAGAATCATGGTTTGATAAAGTCTTTTTATTAATGAGCAAACACTACGTTAGTGTTAAAGCATCTGTTAATATAGAATAGCTCACGTTTAAGCGATTTCGCCTTCTTCAAAGCCTAGAAAGATCAACATGACATGGAGTCTACTCAGCCAAACAAGCAGACAAAACCTAAGGAATAAATATGCATTTTCTTCTTTCGAACCTTCGAACATTTACTATTTTGTTCTCTCTAACTTTTCCAGTTAATTTGGTAGAGACCAGCTACACAGAGTATTACATGGGTGAAGAATGTTCCTGGCTCAGGTCAGAGTATCAGCCTGAGGTATGGCACTAGGTTACGAATGATCATAAGACACTCCTATTTATGGTTCATATTTGGATTTCCGGAATTTTTGAAAACGCTTCAAAAGTTTTACGGACTGATGTTTTCGTCTCGTGAGCGAGGATAATGACTTTTAGTTCACAGTTTTTACTATTATGTCCCCGTGTCCAGTCAGCACCTAGCGGAGTGCTTTTTCCAACTTTATGTTTACTGTCTATGTCTTCTCTTATACACATGCACAATGGCTTACTCGCTTCGCTAAATTATTCGGCACCATATACCTCACAAGAGATCAAACAAACTGTACCTGAACTCATGCAATCACCGTTTCCACCGTTAGCTCATATTATACAATTTGGGGCTGTGCATAACGTTCATAGAGACGGGTGCGAACTAGCTGCCGTCTGAGAGTGCTCGGTAGTATATCAGCCATTATTACCAAATGCTCCAGACTCGTCGTTCTTAAGCGGTTTTTTATGTTTTTTTTTATAATCAAACCTTTCCCCATATTCTCTTCCATTCCAATCTATGTAGGAACGCCTTTGCTCGAATATTTCCAAAATTGCAAGGGGAATCAACTCGACCAGCATTCTACTACGATCATAAAGAAGACGAAATTCTCAAACAGCAGCCGAACGAACATCCAAAATGTTCTATAACCTTTGTGAACGATGAATACAAGGAAAACGAATCGAATACAAGAAGTGCTGGTATCCATATAGTAGGTGTAATAACAGGTTATGTAAGAAAAAAATAAAATGTTGTTTAAGAACGGCAGGTTTAAAGCATTCGGCAACAGTAATTGAAACACTACCGGACACTTTAAAGATACCAGTTGGTTCGCCGACGTCTACATGACCGTCTATGCACAACGAAAATTTGTATAATATGCTCTAACGGTAGGGACAGTGTATGCATGGGTTCGGGTACGGTGTAACCAATGTCTTGCAAAGCGTATGGGGACGAACAAATTGGCGAAGCGGGTAGATGCGTCCCACACGTCCACTGAGATCACTGTGCGTCCGTATGAAGCAACACTTTACGGTAAAGTTAAATTGAAACCAAATACTACACTAGGAGCGCACAGGAAACAGAAACATAACGAAGAAGATTTTTGAGTAAAACGCACTATCCTCACACAGGAATCCAAAATATTAGTGGGTAAAACTCTCCAAGCGCTTTGGATAAATACCAGAAATTCACTAATGAACCGCAAGGAGGAGTCTATTGTGATCATGCGGGACTTAGAGTCATACCTCGAGCTGACTCTCTGAGCTGACCCAGACACATATGTAGCCTATGCAACACTCTAGGCGGCTGGTCTGCACCAAATAACTGGGAGATTTACAACGAAGAAAACGGCGGACATTTAAAAGCAGCTGTTTATTACGCGAAAGCAAATTTATACGTTAAGTCCTATTTGCTGAGCTCATGAAAGTGTTTGGATGAGTAGGATGCGTGTCAATTTGACCTTTTCAGGTTCTGAAAAAGCCGAAACTGCCAAAACGTGAGATATTCTGTATTAATAACTGCTGTAATCCCAATCCCGTGTTTGTTCATCAATCAAAACAGTGAATTATTGATGAATGCCAACATTAAAATAAAGTCGGTCTTGGGATTTGACTTCCTAGACTTCGAAGGAAGGAAAATATAAAAACGAGGCAACGAAAGAGAAGCAACATGTGTAGGCAAAAAAGAAGATCATTTGAAGGTTTCAAAGTAAAGAACGAGGAAGCAACAAAATTTGGTGCTTCATCTTTATGAAAAGACAGACTCCTAGTTAAGCACTGAACGCCAAAAATTGATGAACTTCTTTTCTATTGATCAAATGAATTGTCGCCTGTCCACCGATTACTGAACTGCACACGTACACCCTTCGAATAGGAAAACTTCTAGAAGATTCTACTAAGCAATGGAAAACGTATGCGCACTAATTCTACTAGGTTCGCTCTTCTCTCCTCCCATAAAGGTTCTTCCTAAACAAAGTGGCGAGATCCTATGAACTTCACATCAACTTGACAAAATAGAAAGAGAATTTCTATTTGAGAAAGTGACTAAAATAAAAAAGAAAAATTTGTAACAACATAATCCTTTTATACCTAAGGTGTTACCGGTTTATCTTGTCGTCTCAAGCCTGATTATATATCGTTTAGGCCAGTTGTTCCCCAGATAATATTATGATTGTAGTGTTAATTCGGGCGCTCCTCCACTTCGGAAGATTCGACTTGATGCGCCTACAAAGACCACATGGTGACAACAACCGGACCTTTGACTTCGATCAAGAGGGCTCTAAAGGAGACGAAGGCGCCAAAACGTTAGGCAAACAAAATTTTTATAAACCTCATGTTAGCTTGATATTCTAATAAACGTTGTTTCCTTGGCGTTTTTTACCGGAATATGAATAATTCAATATGAGCTGGAGTCACGGTTTTAGAAAATCATTATGAGGGTTGTTTTGAAGACGATAAACTTATTTCGAGGCACTCTATCCAAAAGATAAATTTATTTCGTAACTGTTAACTCCCATTGTCTTCCAAATGTGATCCTTGTATAGCCTCTCCATATGAAACATTTTCGAAAGTAAAGATCGCAAACAAGTTCTGATGTCAGTTTTACGAAGAGCTTAAGCTGATTGGACTTGAAAAGCGTGTCCACACCGATCCACAGTCAACCAAGCACTGCTGGATGAGTTCATTCTCTTGTGGTTGGATTTCCAATTTTTTTCCAAGATAACCCAGATTTCATTCCAGGGGAAAGAAAAAATGGTTAAGGCTACAAAGTCAATCTATAAGGAAGAAATTTACTGCAGCATTTGTGCTCAAATCATATTTGCCTCGCTTCGCTGATGTAGCGAATGTGAATTCAATCTGTTCAATCATTTGCCGGCGCTGAGATTTCTCATAGATGATGGGTTAGTTAGAATCCCATCCATAGGAGACAAGTATATTCTCTTCACACGAGCCTCCACTAACTGAACTGTTTAACACGTCTTCACCAGAATTAGTCATACGTGAGTAATAGATGCGGACGCAATTTACCGACTGAATTTTAAAGAAGAATATATTAGTTCACCTTGGACTTTGTTAAGTGAATTATTGGAATCTCTAGACCTTTACCAACAGGGCTGAACTCTTCTTATTTTACATCTATAAGAATATGATTGCTGGAGCACATAAAATTGTTGCTATCATTTTTCGTCAAGGCACCCATCTCGAATATTGAAGAGATTCAATAATCGTGTTTTCGTCTAGCAAATTGCCCAATGTACTAATGATGTTTTCAGTCGTCGCATTTATGTCTAAAAAATCTGAAATCTAAACCGCGTCTCGAATTTTTCGAAATCCTGCCTTGACAGATTAAGAGTTAAACTAACATTTCATAAAGATTGGCTACGCTATTAGGACAATAGGAAGAAGTCTCTTCTATTAACGTGTGAATTTGTCAACTTCTCAAGTCCAGAAAACAACTAAAAGTGGGCATCTTACTGACGTGGCAATGGACTGGCTACTATGAGAGGTTTTTCGCAAAACGTATTATTCAAAACCAAATTTGGAGCTGCCAAAATCCAACCATCACCCGAGTTTCACAAAAAGTTGAAATTTGTAGTAACTCCCACGATCGACTTTCTATTAACCTCAGCATTGGCCAAGTAATTCTTCGTATTCTTGTTCAGTAAACGCGAGGTGTTACTTTTTCTCTTTATACACGAATAAGCTGACGTTTCGACGGTTTTCGCCTTCCTCGTTGAAATTTGTTTCAATTTGTTGAAAGATGTTCTTGTTGTCGTTGAAGAA